AAATATACTAGTCTAAGCATTAATACAACAATAACTATTAGCTTGATTATATTTCTGAATAGACCACAATGTCAGTAAGATTTTCAGACAATTTGAAAATCATTATCAGTCCTTATGTAATGTTTTAGATGCTTATGTCTTTCCCCTTTGTCTAATTGTTGCCATTTGTTCCCATAAAGAAAACATTTTGGATCATTTGCATCTCAGTCTTCATCAGCTCAGCTGTCATCATGTGACCAAAGTATGGAATCCCTTAATAAAGCGAAGACTTTCTTTATGGCCAAAAATGAACTTTCATGCTCACAATTTTACATATGTTTGTGTTTTGTGGCTGGAATATGATTGATTTTTTATCACTGTGCACATAAAAAACATACGCAGCTATGTCTGTTTTGTATTTATCTGTATTTATAGTAGGGATTATGGGAAATGCAGTCTTTATTTTGAGGAACAATACTGCTCCATATCTGGCATCTTTTAAGTGTCCAGTGTGGAGGCACTACTGGAAAAAAAATAATATAATATTCATAGGTGTGTTTGCATTAAAGTGTAAATAAAACTGAAAATAAAAATTGTGTTTTTGTTACCTTAGGAGTCCATCATGTTTCTACAGTAGCCCAGAAGGGACAGACCAAACACTGGCTCTATATAGGACCATTCACGTCCAAACCATGACAGTTGTACTACGGACTGTGCATAAGAGGGCACAATGTATTTAAGTTCATTAATTATTAAGCCTTTATTGATATAAACCTTTACAAATGTAACCTGGAATATCATCCATCTCAATTACAATCTCAATTATATTTATAGTCTAACTCTACTATACTTGATGGGGCTAGTGTTGCATGTCCATGTCAGATGTGCATGTGTGTGCGCATGCATGTCCTCAGAGAACTGAACCTGAACTCACAGCACACAGCAGTAAATCAATATGGCCGAGGGCTTTTTAGACACATGCTAATGTATGAAGCCCTGAGAGGTATTTCATACATCAAGTCAGTTTGTGTCTGTGTGTGTGTGTGTGTGTGTGTGAAACCATTTTTCTGCATGCTTCTTCTGCACGAGTGTCTCTCTGATCATTCTTCACTTTAACTTACTCTGTGATAACCAATCCTCCAGGCACTGATGGCTGATGGGGAAAACGTCCTCTTTATGAGTGTGAGTGCATATGGTGCACATAGCCAGTGAGCAAGGTCAACAGAGGAATATCACACGTGTTCGGGTATATTGCTGTGCGTGCAGGATAACAGACAGCATAGAAGTAAACTGTTGTAAAACTTGGTGTCTACTATAGTGCCAAAAACACATGCATTAATCCGCTGCTATAACAGCCTGCGGTCTTCTGCCTTCAGTCTTGCCTCCAGATATTGAACATAGCTGGAGGGATTCAGCCACAAGAGCGTTAGTGAGGTCGGCCACTGATGTTGGGTGATAAGGTCTGGCTTGTAATTGCCGTTCCAGTTCAACCCTAAAGGTGTTGGAGGAGATTAATGTCAGGGCTCTGTGCAGGCCAGTCAAGTTTTTCCGCACCAAAAATTCTTAGTGGCTTTGTGCACAGGGGCTATTGTCTTAAAAATGATTATATGCTGTAGCATTAAGATTTCCCTTTATTTTAATAGGGGACTAGCACAGACCATAATAACCGCCCTTTTCATATATTTTTTATTATTTGTTTGTTTACATATTAGGAGCAAACAAACAAAAACCCAATAAGTTTATGTCTGAGGAATCTTCAGTAATTGTTTGTATGTATGTGCAATGTGGACTGAGGTTACATAGAAATACATGATCTTCAATGCAAAGCAATCAAGGTTTTATGGCATTTTGTCACTTTTGAATTATGTAGGTTTTAAATTAATTATTTGTTCAATTAACTTAATTAAGTGTATTTGTTAGATTTTTCAATAGTGTTTGGTTTTCAAATGTTTTTATTTATCATTTCTTATCATTTAGTCAGGCCCTCTTATCTGATCTGGTAATCATAAATCATTTATGTATTGTTTTTTCTATTTTATTTACCTTTTATTATTACTATGACTTTGATCCTCTTTTTCTCTGTGTATAGCATGAAGGAACTACAGACTTTAATTTCATGATACAGCCTTGTATTGTATAATGATGAGTACATTACCTGATGAGAAATAATTCAACCCCATTGGGAGTTTTAATGTCATATTATTTTACATTGAATCAGAGTGGTTATAATAGATCCATCACTGGGCGCCCAGATAGCTCACCTGGTAGAGCTGATAAAGCTGAGCCATGGGTTCGACTCCAACCTACGCCTCTTTGCTGATTAAGAAGAGGCAATAAAAGCCCCCCAAAATATTTAAAACTAAAAATTCATCCGTCACTTGACTTGTGCTTTTCACCTTGCTTGGAGTACAGAGGCCAAGTCTCCTTTTCAATTTTTTTATGTTGCATTTTAACCCTCAGGGCCACCGTAGATCTCCCTTAAATAATGAGCTTAAATGACGAAGAAATGGATACGTATACAGTATGTAAATTCTTTTCATGGTGTGTATTCTTTGTCATCAAACATCTGGTAAGATTGGCAGTGAAAGCATTATTACATGGTGGCATTTACTGTATGTGCAGTGAAAATGACTGTCACACAACGTCCATTAAGCAGTTTATCACCCGCTCGGGCTGTCTCGTAAACGTGACACTGAGTGCTTCGGGGAAAAAGCTCCATCCTGATGAACTGTAACCCTGACATTTTACTACCCCTCACATGAAAATGTAGTGAGTGCTGCTGCTTTGAAACACACATGTACGCAGGTATGCACCCCAGTAAGACATTAAAGGAGACATTAATCAAAGAGCGCACATACGGTAGCAGAAATCCACTGAGTTGCCTTTTATAGAGTATGCTTTGTGGTAAAAGCTCATTTAAAGTCAACACGTTTGAACTCCTGAACCTGATGTCTAATTATAGGACTGTAAACCGGCAGGCAGAGGGAGTATTAGAAGGTAATTCCTGCTGTGTAAGAGGGAGAAAGAGTGTGTGGCTGATTATATGACCGTAATATGTTTGAGTGAAGGAGAGCAAGGGAGAGAAAAAAGGGAAAGAAAGAAAAGTGTGTGTGTGTATGAGATTTATCCATATCTGCAGTGTTCCTAATACAGGCAGCGCTCAGTGGTGGCCTATTGTCGGCAGAAATGACAACCGGCTCTATCTTGCCCTGCAGACAGCACAAGAACTGAGTGCAGTCTCCTCTCTTTCTTTCCTTCCACCCACCTTTCTTTCTTCTCTCTGTCTCATTCCACTCCTTATTCTATCAGTGTTGCTGTCTTTAACCGACTCTTCCCTTTTGCTCTCCACCCCCTCTCTCTGTCACTTTCTCTCTCTTCTTTACTTTATCTTACTTTCTCTTTTCTGGCTTGTGTGCTCTTTTTCTATTTATTCTGTCTTATTTACAGCCAGGGCCTTATCTTCCCTCTCTTTTTCTTCTTGATTTTCAGCCTTATCGGCATTCATTTACTCAGCACTACATAGGTTTAGGGACACAGCAATAGTTGCATTTGCCTTATCATTGTTGTCTATTTATATTGTTTGTAATATTGAGTTTTATTGGCTATACTGGAAAATACATTCTTCAACTTCTAACACAGATTGGGGCTAGAACAGAACACTAATGAGACATTTTTTCATCAATTTACTATTTTGCCCAAGTAATTCCAAACATTTTTTTAATGATGTTTCTCTACTTTGTGTGGCTATACAATTCAAAAAGTTTCCTGTATGGTACCTGACTCACAGTTAGAGCACTTTTAAGGCTTTCTAACAGCATTAAATTCTCCCAGTTGAATCATCAGTGCAAAAAATAAAAGGTATGTTCCAACACAAATATATTTTATATATTTGAGTTATACAGTATTTGTTTATTTGATAAAAAGTCAAAAGGTACAAGCCTATGTACATGAAAAGTTAACCAAAATATATTTCTGTAAGAAACTAATCACATGGCTTGAAAATCAGTTCCATGCGCTGCTAAAGCTAAATATTACATGATAGAAAAAATTGATAATCTCCATTATGAATCGGATGAATTCAGCAACAATTGCACCATATTTCGTTCACAACAGCAAAAACTATTGTGAATTTGCTACAGCTCTGATTCCAACCTTGTATCACTCCAAAGCATGTAATACACACACACCAGTACACCTTACAAAACGTGACACTGACACAGTATCCTCTACACGCCTCGGTTCTCAATAATAACATTTGGGTAGACTTTTGTACCAGAGTCAATGTAATCACCGCAATCAATGGATTTGCTCTGGGGGTCAAAGTGAATTTATGCAGACCTTTCGTATACTTTGGTGAACTTTACCACGCAAAGACGTACTGTTGACCAATTGCAAACAGTCCTGACAGTGCTGACCTTATACTGAGAGTCCAAAATTGAGGTACCTTGTTCTGTTACAGTTTAAACTGCTCCACAAACTTTCACAAAAGGGGCTGAGCACTTTTTGCATTCAGTTGTAGGACAGTGTTAATATGTTAATATGATACATTTGCTTAAATTAATTCTGTTAAGAATAATTCCTGCTTTCTTCTATGACCAGGCACTTACAGTAAATAAGATTTCTTTACAGGGGTGGGTGTTTTTTTTCTTATTTTTTCCATCTAATTTAGATATTATATGAGTAGGCTATCCCTTCATTTGATCAAATATAATGTAACTTATTCCCCCTGGCAACTCATCTCCACAATGCAGAGGAACATACATGTAAATTGTAATATTATTTCCCTTTTAATAAGGAGAGATCTGCTTTCCTGCTAACTGCTCTCTTTGTCTTTCAAGTGATTAAACACTGAAACAGTAATATTTTGCCTAAATTGCCTATTTACGCTTTAAAAATGTCTGTTTCTTTTACATAACCTTGGTTAAGAAAGTAAGCCGTGATCCTCATATATCTAAGTAACAATCAAACTAACAGTGTTAATATTTCTTTACTCACCCAACCATTAAAATAAAACTCAGGCATTTGTTTCAGTTCTTTATTAAAATCCTCTTTTTATTTCTGTCCTGCTTGCAGTACAGCACAGTATTGTCATTGTCCTCACTGGTGGTAGATGTAGCTGAAGCAGAGTTGGCGCAGCATCTCACCCCCTTATCTGTGTGTCTGTGTGTGTGTGTGTGTGTGTGTGTATAATCATGTGCATCTGTCAGTGTGTGTAGGTCTCCGTGTGTGTTTGTGAGGTGCTGACAATAAAGTGTAGCACAACTGGCCAACAGATCGTACAGTCAGTCAATACAGCAGTATTAATACAAGGCCTTGAGACATTGTTCAGAGGTGTACAGGCAGAAACTGTGAATGTGTTTCCACTGGAGGCTAAAATTGGGCTTGCCAGGGCTCAGGGCCAATAAATGCTTCATATATTTCTTAACGCAGTGTTGAAAATTGATCTTCGACCATACTGAATTACATTAACGTATCATGAGCACGTAAAAAGTGCAAGTAGGCCAGGAGGGTGGATCTCCTTTCTCAGGCAGTGTTGTTTCCATGTTCTACTCAACGGTGTGCGCAGGATCATTGTTGTCCATTTAGGAATCCCTTCATGCTGGCAAAAAGTGTTGATACTAACTTTTTTTTTGTTTGAAAAGATGATTATCAAAAGAAAGCCCATTTTTGGCCTTGGTGGAAACCACACTAGCAAGCAGATTTAGCCCTGCCCCTGACATGTTAGCTTTACCAGTTTTGTAAAATTAAGAAAGAAACAGTGTGTTTGTTGTGTATAATTATATTCTTTTCTCTTTTGTTTTACAGCACAGCAGCTTGGCAGATACAACACACTATGTACGTATATCAAAGTCCTTATATATACCGTATAAGTTGGTTGGCAGGGGTAGCTGTGCATGTTTTTGTATAGTAATACAGCTACTAAAAGATGCAAAAAAAGCCTGTGCTGCTCGCTACATTGTGTTTCAAAGAGGTCACCTTACTCTACACTGCGGTATAAACTCCAGGGTCCGATGTGAACCTGAAACAGGGTCGAGAATGTGACCCCTACACAAGTGAGAGTTGCTGCTGTATCCGTAAAAGGTTTAATTAGTCGTTAATCTGTAGCCCAAACCAAAAATAAAGGCCCCTCTGGGTAGACAAACACACGCCGCCACTGCTACAGTGACGTGGTCATAAGACACTCGCACACCCCTCCATGTTGTCACTTTGTTGAAATCTTAGCGTTAGCTACAATAGATAGCTAATGGAGGCGGATGGTTGGTCTTAAGTGAGCAAAAACACAGTTACATACTGGTCTCTGTTTTCGCTGGGGGTTAGGGAGCTGGGCAGGAGGTTCGAGACAAGGAGAGACGGACAAACAGACAAAAAAGACATATTCATTGAGATAATACCGAAAATTTAGTAGACAAACTTATATAACATAGATCTTAGCGCCTTGAAATATACTATCATATATATTTAGATATGCTATTTTTTTTAGATGAAATAAATATATCCACAAATACTCTTCTTTTTTAAAAACAGACCAGCTTTACAATAGCAGACACGCACCAACACAATGGATAGACATGAGGAAAAAGAGGCGAAGGGAGAGAAGAAAAGATCGGTGGCTCATTTCTCTCATGAAACAACCAAGCTTTGTGTTCACACCGCTAGCAGCTGCTGTGCTGCACTAATCTACCTGTTTATGATAGCTCACGGATGCGGTAGTGTTTCAGCAACAGGTTTGACTCAAAGCAAGACAAATGAGCCCAAATGATGTAACCGCAGCCAAGTTTTCAATGGCAAAAGTAAAATAGGTCGTATAGATTGTATTTGGGCAAGACTTGAGTTGCTTGCGGTGTGAATGCACAGAAACATGTCACTCTTGCTCCACGCTTTTCCTGGTTTGAATTGAAAGTTGTATGAGCTGTTATTGCTGATAAGCACAGCACTGAACTGCCTCCAACTTGGCTTAATATAGTCAATCTTTTCTAAAGAAAGTGAATCCATAATTTGAACAAAGTAATTTTCCTGCTGTCAGTGAACATGAGGGAATAAGTGCTTTAACACATAATATTTATATTATTATTATAATGGACTCAGAATGAAAAACAATATCCCCAAATATCAAGATGCTAAACAACAATTTTCTCTAACGCTACCCACCGCCACAAATATATATATATGATATATATATATATATATATAGATAGATTTTTTTCTTAAAGAAAGGCAAACAAATTCTACACAACAAGTTAATGTTAAAAACGTAAGTTCTCTTTTTGTTTTCTTCAGCTGAAGTAAATTATGGCTCAGATGCAGTTCCAGGCAAACAACAAGCGCTCACCAGACTGTTATGGGAAAGATGGCTCAGGCATTATTACCGACTGAAAAACACAAACGGTGTTGTGCCAACGGCTCTCGCCTCTTCTCTAAAACTCTACTGATGTCCAGTGTCCTGACTCTAAATGCTAATGTCGATGGATATAACTAGCTACTCTAGCTAATTGCTTGACATCTGAGTGTAAGTGCTGGTGTCAGCTTAGTCATGGATTAAAAAGCTATAGCTCTTGGTTACACATTTACAAGGTGAGAAATACCTTTTTAAAAAACAGGATTGCACAGGAGGTGCTACTGTGTCTTTCATACACCCTCGCCCCGGATCCAGCACTTCCTCAAAACTGTCTCATCCGCTAGCTAGCATCCAACATAGGCACAGTCTCTTTGACATCAAAACGGCACTCGCACTAGATATAACACATCACGTCAAGATCCTCTCCGTCCGATCATACTGTCTTGGTAGCATGGGGCTAACCCCAGCCATGTTGATCAAAATACATACCTTCATACTCATACTTAACACAAACATATGGCAGGAGCAATTAGCATAAGGCTATACGTATTTATTTCCCTGCAACAATCTTTCACCTTGTCTAACAAACATGTAGCTCCACCTAGCATGTTAGACGCATATCTCCTGCTTGACGGCACGCAAACCTGGGTCGATTCGTTTTGTTTTGCAAATGTTTGCTGCATTCTCGTCTCGGCACCAATTGGACCACTTGCAAGAAGAAACAAACAAACCAAAAAAAATGTTCAACTCATTGCAGGTCTAATCCTTATGCAAAGACTAGCGTACTGTTGCTTACGTCAAGCTACATCAACAACGACCTGAAGTCAACTCTCTTCACGTCTCTAAACTTAGTCACACATTCTAACCATCAGAAATGCTACAATTTCCATCTCCAAGTGTCTTAATTGTTGTTGCAGCACACTTGTTGGTGGCTGACTTTACATTCAGTCAAAAACAGGGAGAGAATAGACACTGCCTCCATCGTCGTAGTTAGGTAGTTGAGAGAATGTTTCATGTGCAGCTTGAGTAGTATGGCACAGTGTTTACATTGTATTAGACTTAATACATGTTTTGATATATAGAACACCATCAATAACAACAACTACAACACAGAAGTAAAGTAAAGGTTTCAAAGTATAAAATTGTAACATGAAGAGAGATTGAACAATGTATTGCTCAAGAAAGAGAACAGATGAATTGACTGTATGCAGGTGTTAATGTGCCCTTTATGTGTCTGTGAGTGTGTATTTGCATGTGCGCGTATTTGGGAGATGATGGAATACTCTGCAAGATAAAAGGAAACACAGCAGCTAACGTTGTACAGATTGATGTCGAGCTCTACTTAAGTTTGGCACTCAGCTTTTCATTAAGCCAGTAGAATATCAGTCACAGTTGACTTACCCTGTTGTCAAGAATACAAACACAGAAAAGCACAGACACACAGAATAATCACATCAAGGAGAGGAGCCAAGAGGGGAGGACAGGAGAGGAGATGACAAGGGAGATGAGGAGAAGATAGACATGTGAATAAGGAGGGAAAGGAGGTAAAGCAAAGAAAGAAAAGAGAAAATAAGGTGGTAGAGCGGGTGAGAAGAGAGAAAACAGGAGATAAATAGGAGAGAACAAAAGAGAAGAGAACCAGAGAGGATGCATGGATAACACAGAGAAGACAAGGTGGTTATCACCCTCCTCTCCCTCTAATCAAGAAGGTATTGATCATACACAACAAACGTGCCTCGAGAGGGCGTCACAGTTCTGCGGGGGTGTAAACAGTTTGTTAAGGAAAAAGGAAAGTAGGGGTAAGCAATTTGTTTAAGGGAAAAGAATAAGAACACTGTTCTGTGTTAAAGGCTTCCGAGAGCAGCAGGCATACAGTACTACAAAGTTCCTGAGCCCTCAGTAAGCATTAAGAATCATCTGAATACAAACTACTGCTCTGCTTCAACATCCAAAGCCCTTTACTGTCTAAAGCAAAGGAGTCTCCTTCAGCTGTACCACTTTTAATGTCTGATTTGCTTAAGTGTATTGGTTAACCCAGTTCAGAATGCAAGTTGTTGCTGTGGTTGTAGTCTTTCACATACTGAGAGGAATGAAAGGAAACAACAGTAAGCACAAGATTGCTCCTGTTTTCCTTTGACCAACCTCATTGGGTTTGTTTGGCTTTCTGGTTTGTTTGTGCAGAACTTTAGGAAAGGGCTCAGTGCGTATACTGTACTGACTTGGCTGCGCAGCCATGTATGCTGCCAGGCAGATTCAGATCCAGATCACCTGCTTAGCGTCAGCCTTGCAGGGCTCGCTTATGACTTTTGATACCTTTTTGAACTTCAGACCTCACTCTCCACACTGGAGAAATGGGCTGAGCCCCTTCGCGAGCAAAGGCTCTTGGCTTTGAGGGGTAAGTGAGGAGACTGAGGGAACCTCTGGGGCTGAGGTACAGAGCGCAATCTCTGGTACTGTAGTTTAGCACTTGCCGAAGCCATGGAGGAGGGCTGGGGTGCCCCTGGGGTGGATGAGACCACAGAGGGAGAGGATACAGAAGAGGAAGAGGTAGGGGGAGGAACGTGGATAGGATGAGATGAGGACGGAGGAGCTGGAAGGGCGGGAAGCGAGGGTGGCAAATTAGGTATGAGGGTCGGAGGTGGGGATGATTGCCGTCCTCGATCTCGATCCCTATCTGTTCTCTGTGTCCGCTGCTGGATACTGAGGTTTGACTGGCTGCCAGATTTGGATGGGTTTTGTGAGCGATCAGGTTTGGAGGAAGATGAGGAGTCATGTTTGGGCTTGAGGGGACCACCAAAACTCTGGCAGTGTTCGTACAGCTCTTCCTGGCTTCGCGATGTTATGCGGGCCCATTTGGTGGAGTGGGAGTGTGGATGGTGTCGTGGGGACTGACAGGTGGAACAAGCCGCGTGCCCTCTTCCCTTGTCCTTTGACTTGCGTTTACTCTTCTTCTCATCCTGTATGTGGAGTTTGTCCACTGACCAGTATCGTCGAGGAGGTGGTGGTGTGAGAGGAGGCGGGGGCCAGTGTGATCCTGATCCCCACCCTCTATCTCCTCCTTCTCCTCTTCCTCCACCACCACCACCTCCACTAGATCCCCATCCACTTTCTGCTGTCCCCCATCTCTCTCCTCGCTCCAGGAACAGATCATCTCTACTGTTGATGCTGCCGGCTTTATCCCTGGAGGGGTAGGTGCTGAAAAACCAGCCTCCCCCTCCGATCCCTCCAACTGCCCTGCCTTCATGATCCTCCCAGTACCTCTCAAACTTCCCAAACTCTCCTGAAGAACCATCATCATCAGAATATATCCCGACCACCTTATCACGTTCCCGCTCCTCATCAGACATTGTCCTTCCTCCTCCACGCCTCTTTCCATGCTCTGCTTTCCTCCGCTCAAGCTCAGAATCTTCTTCTTCACGCTCTACCTCGGACTCCCACTCATGGAAGGACAACCCCTCCTTGGAGTGCATCTCACCTCTTCCATTCCGTCCCAGCAATGGCCTCTTCTCTCCCTCCATACCTACAGCATCCCTGTCTGAACTTTTACTCTTCCTCCTTTTAGAGGCGACAGGCAACAAGGGTAGAAAGGCAGATGGAATGGTGTCGGAGGATGGGTTTCCCCCTCCCCAGAACTTGACAGATGAAGAAGGCTTACTGCTAGAGCTTTGATAATGCTTGCTGTTCCTTCGCCTGGGGTGTCTTTCTTTCCCTCTGCCGCCTTCCCCATCATCCCTCTCTTTCTCTTCTCTTTCCTTCCTCTCCTCTTCACCTGGGATGTTCCATCCATAGCTTCTGATTGAGCTTTCACTCTTTTTCCGAAAAGACTCTCGTCTCAGGGGTGGGTACGACGGGTAGTCTGGTGTCCCTGACTTGGGTTCTTCTCTTTTTTCAGTATCTCCTCCCTCCTGCTCGGACCTCTTCCGCTCTCTCTTCCTTACCTTGTCGTCTTTCTTCCTCTTTTTCTTTGTTTTGCGGCGCTTTCGCTCCCTTTCTCTCTCTCTCTCTTCCCTCTTCTTCTTCTTTCTGCCCTTCTTCCTCCTCTTCCTCTCACGCTCCCTCTCTTTGTTGTGCCTCTTCTCCTCTCTACCCACACCTCCATCTCCCCGGCTTGTTGTTCCACTTCTCCTTCGCTCTCTGTCACCCCACGATGCCCACCACTCCTGTAATTGGGCCAGCTGGCTGCCTGTTCTTTCTCTGCCATAATCCCTCTGAGGACGTGGCTTTCGGGGTGGGATTGGAGGAGGTGGTGGGCTGCACGGCAGTGAGCGTGATGACATACGACGGGAACGAATCTTCCTCCGTGACCCAAGGAGGAGGCTTGACTCCTCTGTAAGCAGATCTGAGTCATAGTCATCATCCACCATAAAATCCCGGTCACCTGCTCGATACCGGAAACTAAGCGAGGAGTTATAGGAGCTGTCACTTGAGCAAGAAGAGGGGGAATTTGACCTAGAGAGAGAGACAGAGGATGAAGAAGAGGATGACGATGATGTAGAGGAAGAGGAAGAGGACGAGGCACTGGAGCAGGAGGAGTAGAAACGGCATGGTGAGGAGGGAGTAGTAGGGGTGTGTGTTGGGGAGGAAAGGGGGACAGGCAGAGGAGGTGGAGGAGGACGTCGCCCTCTCCTTCCACCTCCATCGCTTGCTCCATACCTCCCACCTCCTCTCCTCCCCAGAGGGAGTATATTCTCATACAGGGGACCTCCTGAGCCTTTTCTCCTTGCCTGAACAAGGCTTCCTCGTCGCCAGAAAGGAGGCCTCCGTGGGGAAGAGGGGATCAGTGGAGGTGGCTTGGAGATTAAGTGCCCTGGGCCTTGTTGGGGGCCTTTAGGAGGCAAACGTGGCATGCCTAAGGCTTTTGGGCCTCGAGAATTAGCTTTGGGAGTCTGCTGGGGGCCCCCTGCCTGTTGTTCTGAGTTAGCTCCTAGCCCCTCTGGATCTATAGGACCATAGTAACGCTTATATTCATCTAGCCCTGTGTCACCTCCTCCCCCTGCTCCAACTGGGACACCTCCTTGCAGGGTCCAGTGCTGTCCAAGATTCTGCTGATATTGCTGCTGAGCCTGGAGTTCACTGATCCCTCCTGCTATCCCTCCAACACCCACTCCTCCACCACTGCCTCCGCTCATGACTTTCTCTGGCTTTGGCCTGTTCCAACGATCGACCACGGCAAGTCTGCGGTCATGACGAGGCAAAAAGGTGGAGCAGGGCATGGGGCCTTCTAATAAGGGGCTGTTTGAGGGTCCCAGAGCCATTGCTGAGTGTCCTGTAGTTGGTGGCGATCCGGGTAGCATGGTGGTGTAGGTCTGCCCCTGTTGCTGTTGTTGGTGGTGCTTCTGTTGCTGTTGCTGCTGCACCATGGCAATGGCAGTCGTGTTATTGATTGTGGCTGTAACAAGGTGTTGTTGGGGTGCCGTAGACATGGTTGTCATGGTGTGGTACTGGGGTAAATTGCTCCCTCCTGGTGCTGTCTCATCCTCAAACTGGCAGCAACTGTACATCCCCTGGGTGGAGAGATAAAAGAAAGATTGTAATTAGACCAGCAGGCTGCCAAGTATGATAAGAGGGAACTGTGTGTATGTGTAAGAGACAGAGAGACACAGAAAGAGAGCCTGACATACCAAATTTTGAAAAGGAGCAGTTTTGATCCGGCACTTACATCATAAAACTAAAATGCGGTACAGAAGGCTCCTTGTTCCAGCCTTTACCAGTTTCATCAAAAAATATTGAGATATTTTGAAAGTTTCAGATCAATTTAAACACTCACTTTGACTGATTTTCTTACAATTCCTGCAAAAAGATACTGGTCACCACAGTAAAAACAAGTTTTTTTGGTGAAGGTAACAAGTTAGAAAATGATTTTGGTTGATTAATGAAGAGAAATTACAAAATTACAAATGAGCTGTTCTTGTAAGTAAAAATAACATGAACAGTAAACTACATACATATTTGAGTAGGAAATGGTGTTTTTAAAATTTGGATTTCGGTCCATGTTAAAGATCAACTGATAAACTGATGATTATGCTGTTGGATTACTGTATAGCATCAGTCACTGCTGGGTTGACAACTGACACTGAATTGTAGAGATAAAATCTGCAAATTTGTTATTTTCTATTTTATGATTAACTGTAATGTTAAAAGATATAGTTAAAGGTGGTCTGACCTATCTGACGTTTCCGCTGTTTGTATGTATTCTGTTGCTTTACTAGAGTCTTTGATAAAGCAAATTTGTTTTATATTTGTCTGGGCTACAATTTCTGTATCTCCATTTATCCTCTATCCACCTACTTTCCTTTATTTTTATTCAGCGCATAGCATAACAGGAAATCTCTCTTTATTCTTTCTCAGAATGCTAAGAAATCACCATAGGAGGTTTCCCTCTGCCTCAGGTTCTCTGTGTCACCACATCCCCTTTAAAGGCAGACAACAGGGAGCACGGACCATTAAATATTGATGAGAGTTTTGGAGAAACTTTGGACTGAGTTTACCAAGCTTCTCGAGTGTCAATTTTCAAACTATCAAACCAAACAAAGCCTTTAGCATACAAAGCATCACTCAGCTGGAGCAGGGCTGTTTTTTCTCCAAAAGCACTGTGAAACATAATTGTAGAGGGATGTATGTGCAAAGAGTAAACAGCTTCTGGAGAGGAGTCAATACAATGGGGGAGAGCAAAAGCAACAGAACCTATTTTTTCATTGTGCAAGTAAAACAGCTGGTGACAGATTGAGAACACAATTTAAAAGACACAAATTAAGAATGAAATAATGATGAATGAAATTAACTTAAATAGAATTTTCTCTTTTCAGTTACTAACACTTTTGAGTACGGACTGCACCCTTCTCTGGTGTTCATGTGGAGAATCGCTTATTTTCTTAAACTAAGTGACAAGTAATCTGCCAATGCAGTAAGAATATTTCATCACATTTCAAATATAAATCTACTTATTTGAAGAATCTTCTAGAAATGATTGTCTGTATCTTGAAATACCAAGAGAAGTCAATGCACAGGAATCAAGGAAAATGAAACCTGATCCTAAAAAATACAGTTCTTGAAACACGTTTATTTGCAATTGTTACTACTTACTCCAGCAAACTTTTTTGCTGAAAAAAAAAGAAGAAATTCAGACTTGACAGGGAGATTTTTGTGGTGAGCTAAACAACTGTTTATCTGATGTCAAGATTTATCTTCTCATTTACATAAAATTGCGCATTTTGTTTCCTGTAGTTGGACCTGACAACGACATATCAGGACACTCTCATTTTCACATGTCCTGGTGCCATTGTTTGTTGCCACTTGAGTTTAGATAAGATTGTTCTCACTTGGTTTTAATGAACTGCTCCAAACGTGCTGCAGTGTGGCTTATTACATTTCAGCAGCAACATTCAACAACATTTGATATGAATAAAACATGAAATAAAATATGAGTAAATGACTAGATCCTTGTGACATTTTCTTTTTAAATTGTAAACCCCAAGCAGGAACAGTCAAATATAAAATCATGTCAGATGAGCAAAGCTATCTCTACTGTGCATGGTTGCTCTTTCTCCCCGTACCTTTGTATATGTACTCGCTGTAGATAGATGGGACTCAATTAGCAGTACTGAGGAGAGCCATGTAAATCACAAAGACTCTATTATTCTTTACACGTGAAAATGATTCATAATATCCATCGATATCTGTCACATCTTAATGACTAAATGTGTGGGGCCTCCTGTAAATCTCTGCTCCCCACCGGGACACAGATCTGATGGAGAGACTGTAATAATGGCCCTTCCGGACACATGAATCAGCAGTCCCAGTGGCAGAAGTGCTATCACAGTCCCCAGAGCACAAGGCGCAGCATACTGTGAAATTGAAACTTGGGTGAGTCACTGATTGGGTTAAAGCAAGCCACAGAGGCCAGCTGCAGAGGCTTTAAAGCAAGTACAGCATATACCTTGGGAGATAGAAGTTAACTGGTCTTGGGAGTGCCCTTTGCATGGAATTGATGTTTTTATTCTTAGAGTGAGGAATGCTACAGATAAGAATAGAGTTTGCTCATGCAAGAAAAAAATGATGGTACACTCTGAATGTATGAAGAGAGGCGTAATTGCACTCCAAAGGATCCACAAGGAAGCCCGTCAGAGAATAGATATCAGAAACTGCAGGGGATACGGTGGATTTTCTCCCACATAGTCAATACAGATTATCAATAAAACAGTAGAGTGGGTTCAATAAATGGCTTATATCAGTACATACACCAGATCTAAAGGTCTTCAACCAGAACAAAACCTGACTGAACCTGACAGACTTAACACATTCAGGCAGGGGTTTGACTACATTTTTACATGCTAAAATAACAGAAGGAGTTCATATTATGAAGAAAGGTAGTGAACGATGGAAAGTAGAAAGCTGGCTTATTAGAGCACGAGCCAACCACCACAGAGTTCCTTCACCCAAGTCAAACTCGGGGCATTTTACCTTCATTTCCCAACAAGTAGAAAGACTTTTACTAAAATACAATGTAGGAGATCTGTAGCCTCACGGAAGAAATGAATGTGAACTAGTTCATTTTAGTCTGTGTGAACTGAACTTTGGGCTAGCTCTTGTGAAGCGTGAACTTGCACAAAACAAAGAATTTGTGTGTAGCTTTGAGAGTTAAGAGAGTCGGGAAGGCAGAGAAACAGAAAGAGGCAAATCAGTGTGTCTTTTCATATTACAATATAGGCTTGGACTTGGTTTGTGTTTAACTCTGGCCAGACTGTCCTATATTAATTGGTCTGTGTTGGGCTCAGGCATCAGGAGGATTTTAAGAACCATCACAGAGGCCTTACACATCCATACTTGCTACAGCAGAATTTAATCTTTACTACAATTATTTTAATGTGCTTTTGTGATCAATAAATATCTTAAATTCCATCTAATTGACTTGCAAGCATGCTGTTAATTTGAAATTCATCCTTTTTTCCACTTTTTGATAGATGAACACTGTGAATGTAATGTGTATCTCATAAATAAACTCTCCTTTCTCTTTCTCCTTTGTCTAATATCCTTTCTGTATTAATTTGTATTTTGTGCTAGCTCTAGGTTTGTATACACATTCATGTGTTTTATCTTATAACTGTATTAGCTTGTACTGAAATTCATGTTTGTATAATTAATTATCAAGATCATTAGAAACACTAGAATGAGCTTTGCGATTCTTAGCTGAGGTTCTATATAATTCATAGTCTGAAACGGTGATTTTTCATTTGCAAAAGTAATAAGTCTGTTTTCAGCAGATAAAATTAGAGTAGTCTCCTCATATGTTGGAAGAATAACGTCAGAAGTAAGAGCTGTAGTGTTATGTCTTCTCCTTCCTTTTTATAGTGCAATTAGAACACTCTTCCGCTGTGCATAAATTAGCCATTTTCTCTGCTTTGTCAGACAGGAGGAGGCAATAAATCACAATCTGTTGTCGTCATTCCAACATGGTGTTGACACCCTTACAACCAGGGGTACTTACACGCCAAGCATTCCATCACAGGGTCTTCTGACAAACAAGAATATCTCCCAAGCTCTCTATGAAGCTCGTTTTACACTTCAATAGTCAACTCTCCTCTCCTCTCCTCTCCTCCTCGCCTCTGTCCTCCCTCCTCCTATTTGTCCCTGACGTTTGTTTCCATCCTGCATCTCCTTCTGGCCTCTCTCCAACACACAATGCTGTACTCCACTACCTCTGCCACCCAAACCCACAGTCGTCACAGCCTTAACCAGCGCTCTTCTTATCTTAAAGTTTCCCTCCCCTTCACCATCCCACTTCTCCTTACTTTCCCTCCCCAATTACAGCATTCACCTCTTTCCCTTCCCTTTCTTGATGCCTCCTCCTTTCCCTTCTTCTGGTCATTTCATCCCCTCTCTCCCCATATTACCTACCTCTTCTCCCCTCGTCTCTAAACCCTGCCTCTTTTTAGCCTCAAACCCTGCAAGTCTCAGGACCTGTACTAGATATTTCCAGGACCTAGAGCTGAACTTACAGAAACTGCATTGGCTCTAAAAGAAAATAGCTGTGTGACAGCTAAGTGATCCCTCTGCCCTGGACCATGGCCCTCTCTCTTGGCTTGATACCAAGGATAAATTCCATTGATGTTCCTCTTTTTGGCCTCCTTGCCAAAAACAAGTACCAATATTAAGTGTCACCTACTTTTGTACAATCCATATCTTGATAGTATCTGAAAACTAATTAACCTCTTCTCATCTATAGATCCATTTCCTGAATGAAGTGGACCTGATGGCTGCAATCACTAAAATATCTTTATTTTCGTTTTCAATCTAATCCATACAAGGAACAGGAGATTGTAAGAGTACACCTTTCAGTCTATCATAACATCTGCTCCTGCATAAATTGTTTACCAGTGCTCCTCAAGAACTATATTATAAATCTGCAGGTTATTTTCTCTGATTGGTTCTTATCTCTCTCTCCGGTTGAGGGTGTGTAAATCAGTGAGATCAGGTGCTGCAGTGTTAGGTTGAAATGAAAACTCTTATGCTTCAGATGTCACGTCTCTATGTTCTCTTACCACCTGGCTTTTGAATTGTTTTTATATCTCGTGTAGCTAGATTAGGCCCATATTTGTATATTTTGTTGTTCTGTCTTGAGGTTAAAGAACTGCACACTATTTAAGAAGGTGGTGTGATGTGCATTTTCAGGAATGGTTATTCAGGAACATCCATTTCTCCCAGTATTGTACTAATACTAATGTACTAGTAATGTTCTCATTTTAAATTTTACTGTGTGGGATCCACTGCAACAAGAAATGGCTTCACAAACCTAAGCATGTGAGATTCATGGTTTATCAGAACATACTCTTTTACCTTGTCATCTCATTGCTTCATTCAAAACTGTTAATAACAGTTTTATTAATCAAAAATCAGGACAGAGCTGTTCTGAAAAGCCAGTATTTATTTTGGTGTGCCTCAAGGCTCATTGCTTGTTCCCATTCTTTTCTAATTACAAATGCTGCAATTTGCAAAAGTTCAGACATTTGTAATCAGTTTCTGTTGTTATGCGGATAAAATACAGTTCTACATGTATTAGGTTCACAGCCTTCCTGATTGCACATCAGAAAAGAGAATTAAACAGAAAGACCAAATTATTGGGGGAAGACCAGGAACCTCATTTGCATGTCTTGTTTCAAGTTTTGCTTTTACCACACTTTCTTTCATCTTTTGTTAACCACATTGTTTTGCATCTACATGCATGAAACCTCTTGTGGTTGTTTAGATTATCAATCTAAAAGTACAAGTTTTGCCTATTTTATTTTTCAATATTATGTCTTCACTCACCCTACTGAGAGCCAAGAGGAAGTCCATGCCACCAGATCGCTTCACACAGTGCCGTAGTTTCCAGTACACTAGATGCTCCCAGGCAAATACCAAGAGGCTGAGTCCCATGGCCACTAGCAACATGTAGAAGACTCCGGCCATGTTGTCTATGTCCAGCTTACTGCTCATCACCTGGAAGGGAGAGTGGATAGATGGGGGAAGGCAGAAGGGAAGGAGAGTAATGGTAAAGATTAAAGGAGGTGAGAGCAGAGAGAAGAGACGAGGAAAAGAAGGCAGGAAAGTAAAAGGCCGGTAAAAGGAAAGCATATGAGAAGGGAGGGGCAGAGATGAGACAGGAGACTGTATTTATTACTAACGAGCACCAATTTGTCTCCCAGACAGCAGATAAAAAGTTAATTACAACCAGCAGTACAATAGAGAATCCTTTGCTGTCACTGGATGTCAGAGCACCCATCTGTGAGATTTTAAAGCCCCTGCGCTCAGAACACTGATGCAAAGACCAAAACATGTCAGTCACCACAAAATGTCTGGTTCGCATCAAACTAAGAGCTTTTCAGGCAATTTAATTTATTCAGTATCAACATTAATAGCTCTCATCTGCAGCCACGCAGCATTCACTGTTGAATCAATAACTATTATTGCTTTATATCAAAGGTCTTGGTTCCTGTGGGGACATGTGTGCAGACATCTATTCTGAGGTGTTTACGTTTAAGTTTGGTTTGTTTGTCCAATTGACAGCAATATCATTTGAACTTGTATAACACCAAATAATCGCACATACACACCTGAAATTGACCTGTAGTGCAGTTTTGTTAGGTGTGCTATTGTCATCTAAAGCAACTGCACAATACCACCACAAAATGCAGGGTGACATCTGATAGGCAGCAGCTACTTGTGTTGTGGAAATCTGAGCAAAGCAAAGTTAACTGACAGCAAGCAGGAGTATGGATGCGTAGTCATAAAGAAGAAAACAATTCTCAAACCTCAAACTTTTGATTACATGTAACCATCGCAACCAAGTGCAGAGGATCATATACTCTGGATTTTGTAACGACTTTAACCACTTAATATACAGTTTTTCCACTTAGTTTTCCATCAAGTAGCTTTATGATTGGAAAAATTATCCTTTCCCACATTGTCAATATTGGTGTCACATTTATCAGTGAAGTTGAAGTAAATAATAAGCTGTCAGACAAGCAGGGTAAAATTCACTCTTATCAAAAAAAAACACAAAACTAAGGCAACTATGAAGTGAAAACTGAACACCAAAAGTACTGATGCTTTAATGTTAAAGAGGTTTCTCGCTTCAATTCTCTTATGTGGTCTCTGAAATGTTTTTTTTTTTAGATTATAAATGGTGATTGGTAAGATAATTATGATGATAACTTGAGTTAGCTTGGTTTTGGAGATACCTGGTTATCTGTCAGAGGGAATATCAGAAAAATGTCTAAACATTCCTAAGGCAGTCCGTGTCTGGTCTTGGTCACAGTGGGATCAGCACCATGGATAGCTCTTGACACCAGGTTGGCTGGACAACAATCTGACAATCTGATCAGCATTAAGGCTGGACTACAAACTATAAACAGTGCAGCGGCAGACTGTGTGCCAGGTTGATGGAGAAAAGCGGAGAAAAGGTATAAGACATCATACCTCGATCTTATCATTGTGGCAGATACCCGACAGCCAGAGACGCTCCAACATATCAATCTCATCTGCAAGAGAAAAGATGGAGGGAGAACAAGGAGGTCAAAAAAGAGGAGAAGCTGAAAGAAAATTAAATAACGAGATAAGTAAAAAAGGTGGGAGAGGAGGTTTATAAGGCTCACAGGAAAGAGAGAGCAAGATGATGGGGCGGAAGAGTGAACAAGAAAGAAGAAATGAGGAATTAGGTACAGAAAAGACAATAATGGAGAAGGAGCTGAAACAGTACAGCACTGGAGGAGGAAATAAAAGAGAAAAATTTTCAAAAGGGGATTACCGCCCTTTTGTAATGAGAGCAAGGTGTTTGATCTCCTGAGGGAGAGAGAAGAACCAACAGAAGGAAAGCTGAAGAGGTGAAGAGAGAACAAGGAGGAGGATGGAGTCTATTGTGTTCCAGCAAAAAAGATACATATGATGAAATGCAGCACGGGGGAGAGAAATGAGAGGAGGGAGTACAACCTTGTTTATATGATGTTAAAATGGAAGAGAAAATTAGATTGATGGGAGAGAGCAAAGCAAGGAAAGATAACATAAAGATAAGATAAGAAAGAAGGGAAATTCTGTGCCCATGGCAGTAAAATGAAGATGCAGCCTATCAGTTACTAGAAATTACATGTGATAAATCCAAGGAAAGGTGCATGTGTCTCGCTATGTTACAGATACTACAAATTACAAGCATGGAAATATAGAGTGTGAATAGAAAACAAAGAATTAGAACACAGGGGGGAGGCTAAGAAATGGGAGAGGAGAAGAGGTCGTATGAGAAAGAATTAGAGGCCATTTGCAGAAAAAGTCATGAGATTGAAAAGAGCAACTGGGAATTACTGGCAGTGACTGGAAGTGAGAGGAAGCCCTTTGAAGCAGGCTGTGAAATGGCCTGGCATCTGAGGCGGGCACACCGAGGACAGAGCGTCGCGATAGAGCATGGGAGATGAAAGGTGGTGGGGGGGACACACAAATATTACACTTTCTGCTCAAACTGTCATCAGAATCATGCACACACATATCTGATAGACACTCTGAGCTCCAGTGTAATGGGACTCTCATTGCTGGCCATTAAGGCATTAATCAAAAAGAATGAGTCAGTGGGTAGGGACAGCAGGCTCAAATGTAAAGAGAGACTTATGTAGACAGATGTGCACTGACCCGGTCGCAGAGGATTTTCAAAACTAGCACACACACACTGTCATATACACACACTGTTATGCACACACTCTGAAGACGTCCCAGTCAAAGGAAGTTCCAATTCCCAATGCGCACAGTTACAATATTAATCGACCTCCGGGTTAATTAACGCTGTCTGGAAACCCCTCAGTAAAGCCCCACCACACGGATTAGACCACCACGACTCGGCCATGTTGACTGAAACGTCAAATCCGCTCAAACAAAACACAAATCTCACTCTAACATGAATCAGTATGTGCCACATTTCACTTCCCCAACAGTCATGTGTTGGAATTCAAACGTTCCTTGACAGCTGAATTATACCGGGCTCAACTCCATCGACCTCACCCCGCTCCCCGCACAGATCCTGACAATAGAAGCTAATACGCATGTTCATTCTGTGTGCGGCTCACTCCCATAATCTAATTCATCGAGTTCCAATGAGGGTTCAGCTGATTTCTCTCTCTCTGTCCAGCTCTCTGCCTCTCTCCCTTTATCTCCCTGTAAATACGTTAATCATGGCAGTCAGCGGCACATAAAGCTGCTCTTTGGGAGAAATCTTCCCCACAAAGGGCTGACAGACAGGCGGAATTTCAGCTGTATCCTCTCTCACCTGCTCCAAGGAGGAAAATGCCACGGAATAAAGAAAGGGAATTGTCTGCACAAATGAAAGGAACAGACGTGCAAATACAGAGGGGAAAAAGCCAGAGCTTAAAATTAAATTAATATTTTTATTCCGTTGATTTTTTGACAGTTTAGTGGTGATTTGGGAACACTTAAATATTTCTTTCATTGTACCTTGAGAATGTGCCTGTCTCCCTTTAATAGCTTTACATTGGTCAGCAGTGAAGATTTAAGCGCCCTAATCATCAATCCTCTCAGTGGCATTATAAATAACGTCTAATTTATCCAATCTGTGCAGCAAAAGCATTCAGGGAAAGGGTATTATAGACCAGTTTTAACATATGGCATCACCTGGAATACCTCTACAAGGATGCATGCAGACAACCAGATGGAAGCACCTCAACTGTCTCCTTTCAATGAAAAAGAGCAGTTTTTGTACACTGCCTGAGCTTCTGATCTTGTCTCTTGTGGGATTTGGAAGGTGGGGGAACCTCAACATCTGATGTAGTGGTGCAGCAGGGATAAAATTACCCATGCTCAAAATAATTCCCTAATTGATTTGTACTTTGATTTGTGAGTTCCAGTGGACCTGTTTCCTTTGTGGACAGCTGACCTTCTTTTAAGCACCCATTTCTTGACATATTTTTTCTGGATCCCACTGGCCCAAAGGAGGCCTGACAAAAGAAATGAACATCAGTGGCTGCTTCCCTTCTGAGAGATCGACATCTGCATGCATGAACCCACTAAAGGGAAGGGATGACAACAGAAAATGGATGTGTGTTGAGTGTGCGGCCTATTTGTTCATCAGCTAGAAGGAATGACACGAAAAATAAACTCGCTTGACATGATTATGTATGAAACTGCCCATGAGATTTATTTACTTATTAATCGATCGTTCTGGCCCAGTTTACCCCCTGCCTGTCACTTAAGTTTAACACATATTAGCCGTATCACAGGGTGTCAATGTGTTATCTGATGCCCGTTGCACACACAACAAGTTACACAGACAGAAGAAGAAGTCAAGGTACAGTAGTCCGATCTGACAAGTGACTATGATAACAATTTCTGCTTTTCTGAAGAGCTGACATGGGCCAGAATTGGGAATAGGGACAGTGGTGTATCCTGACGAGTTGATGCACATCAATCATGTCAACATGCCCCTGGTGTATGGGCCTAAAAAGAAAACAGTGGGTGCCATCAGCGAGTGTTGCTCTTAACGGTGCACCCAGACAGCCCATAGAAACATATTTTTGATGCTTCAGTCCACAACCTGAACAGTCCTCACAAGAAAAACATAAATCAGCATTGGTAATTTATTGAGAAGATTAATATTACCAGTCCCTTTACAACAAAAGCAAATGTAGTCCAAAAACTGCAAAAACCCCTTATTATGGAGTCAAAGTTTTAGTTACTCAACTAAACCACAGAGGTTTTAGATCAGAAAACACTAACGAGCCTTTTAATGACCAGTCGTATGAATTATTTTTTAAATGCAATGTAAAACTACCTACTTAGAAGACTTGAGCATTTTCTTTCTTACTTTACCACTTTATTCAAGCTACACTTGGCCAGAAACCACCCCAATACATGAGGACACAGTCTGATTAAGCTAAAAGAACAACATCATCAGCAAAAATGCAAGAAAACATGATTTTTCTCAAATGGAGCCTCGCTTACAAGTAGGATGTAGTCTCCATTTCAATTATAAAAATAAATTCCAAATAGTTTCTATCAAGCAAGATACACAATCTATAAATATTAGTAATGATTGGTTGGCTTTTATTTCGCTGTAAAATATTTTTTTCTGTTTAATGGAAATGGAAGGCAGCTTGTTAAACAAAGAAACTTATTTGGTTTGGAGTTGTTCAATTTCACATTTCATATAGTCTATATCTGTCATATTTTGGTTGGATTATATTTTATTCTCAGTGACACTCACAATATTCAGTATATGAATAACTGTAGATGTAGCAAAGTGAACTTTGGGGGTAGAGAAATATTGTTCAAGACAGAAAACACGGCAAATAATTTAAAGTTATTGTGGCAGCTTTTTGTGAGTGACAGAAGTAAATTGTATGAGCTGTAGTTGTTCCTGCCGCCGTGTCATTGCATACTTTCTCCATCTCTAAAATAAATTGTTTTGTGAAAACTGAAAGTGGTTTTTGTCAGTCGAACTGTAAAGGCACAAATAATGATTGGACAACCAGCCTGAGATACAGCGCATGTTTTCCGAGTGGGAGAGATGTGAGAGGTGGTGTCTATGTGTATGGAGGTGGTGAAGTCTAATTAATCTCTAAGGAGATGGATCCCTAAAAATATTGATCTTTTCAAGGGTGCTTTGGCAAGGCACTTGGAGTTATGAGGGTTATCAAACTTCCAACAAGCCAGAGCCAGAATATTTTGTCCAACTGCCAGAACAATTTCAACTTTAACAACCAACCCATTTTGTCTTCTATCCTCTCATCTTTCAACAAAAAAACATTGTTAGGGGACTGTAGTCCACCATTTTGACTAAACATTGAAGACTTATTGAAATAATTTCTGCTCAAAGCAACATTTATGTCGAATGAGCCAGTGTGAGTTAATAATTTAAAGCTTTATGTTGTGTGACACAATGAACCGAGGTTTATAGGATTCTTCAGTAAAAGAAGAAGAAGAATGCCAAGTGCCAGACTTTTAAAGGGAAACTTCTGCCATTTCTAGCATTTGTTTATTTGTAGACGCTGATCCCAAATGATCTGTGGATTTTGTTTGACTGTGGAACTCAACTGAACTAAATTGCAGGTTCAGAGAAATATCTGCAGCTATATTCTGAGTCTATAAAATTAAAATCAACATCTGGGTCTCTAAAGACTCAAAGCCATCAAAAAAAAAAAAAAAGGATGTGAAGAAAAAGAACAATCAATTTCCCGAGGGTGCACTATGCTGCTACAGTATGTTCCACCCTCAGTGCCAAAAGCTGTTCGCATTCTCTTTTTTTTTTTATCATTCTTTTGTGTGTGTGGTGTTTTGTTGGCTTTGCTCAGTCAGCATGAATCAATGTGAGTGACACAAAGGAGTAGTGGAGTGGAGGCGAACTTTGGATACGCAGTGCTGTGGGGAGCCCAGGTGCAACATCAGCAGTTGTATCTGTACGTATTCCTGCATCCCGGTCCTTTGCAGTAACACTTTGAAGACGGTTTATTTCTTGGAAGTCTGCTGGAGCCAAGTGGGACTTGACACA